TTCTTTCTTTCTTTCTTTCTTTCTTTCTTTCTTTCTTTCTTTCTTTTACTTTCTTTTGTGAGGAAGCTGCCAAATTACTTATCTGAAGGGGAATACTGAACAAATATATGTCCTAATTACCAGGAAAGAACACAAGCTTTTGCAGCCACACTTAAAAGGGGCAAATTATAATTCTTTTCTCTAGCAATTACTCTGAGGTGGACAAGCTAGGAGTTGTTTCGCATGCAAGTCTAGATCACAGAAGCCTACCTGGGTTACCAAGACCAAGCAACACAAAGTTATATGACTTTAGAGCTCGAATTTCCCCACAGACATAATTCCTTTATGGTTTTTGCTAATACCTTTAGAAAATGCCTCACCTTTGAAATAAAAAGGAGTGTGGAGAAAAGAGTCTGACTGTTGACCCCTGTCAGAAAGAAATCTGAGAACACACACACCTCTGCACCTGCTTTGAGATGTATATATAGTCACTCTAAAGGAGTCTTGAAGAGTCTTAGTAGGATAAGGAAGTATGGGTCTAGCTCACATTTTTCAAAGGACATGCTATCTTTTGGGCAAAAGATGTATGCTACAAGCAAAGTGAGATAAGAATGTCTTATTATGAATGTATGAATCAGGAACGAAAGTTTGTCATCTGCCATCTGTCTTACCTGTACTCTGTGGCAGGCAATGGTGTTGCCAGTGGGCACTAGGAGGTTGCGGCAATGGCACAGACTCACAGAGAGACTGAGAAGGAAGGAAGTGGTAGACTTTAAGCCTGATCTCGATACACAAGCATCATTCATAAAACAGCATAGGAGGGAAGTGCCTCGGGGTGGGGCAGAACATAAAGCAGGGCTAAGCATCAAAACGGAAACTGACACACACTGTGTGCACACAGGAGAAGAAAACAAGGCTGAGCTGCAAGAAGTGAGCTTAGAAACAGACCTGGAGGGAAGCCCCAGATGTTAGTTTTCAGACGTGTGGGCTTTATCCCAGGGCAACAAGTAAAGCATTCAAGTGCTTTGGGCAGGAGACTGTACTGATAGAGGGGGGTCTTTAGGTACCTGGAAGCAATGCTCAGACTAATCGTTATGAACAAGGGATGCAAGAGGCTGGGAGTCTACTTTTGAAATGAACTTGGCCTTAAGCAAAAGGCTTTTTAAAGTAGTAGTAATGCTCAATAAAATTAGGTGGTAGAATATCTGTACAAATCCTACACCCAGAAAACCTTAAATATTTTGTTTTTGTTTCAGTATGTTTGTGTGTGTATATGTGTGTGTGTGTGTACATGTATGCACACATGCATGTAGTTGTATGAAGTTGCTCAAGAGGGCCATAAGAAAGAGTTTGAGTCCTTGTAGCTAGAGTTATAGGTAGTTCTGAGCCATGTAATGTGGCTTCTAGGAAATAAACCCAAGTTCTCTGCAAGAATAACAAATACTTTAATTGCTAAATTCTCTCCCCATCCCCATAAGCTCCTCAATCTCAGTGCAACAAGATACCATATACTGCATATTGATTTTAGGTTGAGGAGGCACAAAAGGGTTTATGAGTTAAATAGGGGCAAGACAAAAGGATGAGTCAGAGAACATTGGTTCTGTTAGGTGCAGAGAGTAGTGTTTCTGTAGGAAGCTGCTATAGATGAGGGAGTTTAGGCACAGAGAAACACAAGACAATGAGTGGAAGCCTGCAGTGCAGTGAAGGAAGAACAGAGTCAGGTAGCTTGGGCAGCATGTAAGTACTCATGAGAGATGGTGCATACAAGGGAAGAATACTCACACATTCGCACTAAAGGCCTGGCATAGAGCTCATTCCTTCACTGAGAGTGGCTGAGGCAGTGTACTCATGGAACTCGGTTATGGTGGTATCAGGAACAAAGGAAAGGGTTTCGTAGCAGTGTGGAGATCTATACAATACTGACATTGATGTCAGCACTGACACTGAGGAACATGAACCCCTAGTGTATGCTCTTCTTTTTTTTTTCTGAGTCCACCTCACCTACTGACTGGCTAGAACACTGGGGTGTGGTAAGGTCTTCTGTGCATTTTCCAAGCTAGCAACCACGGTATCAGTAGACTTTCATCTCCTACAAAGAAACCTGATCTCTGCAAATGGCCCACTTCGGATGATATGGTATACAACAGACTTGAGCCAATCCATAAGCAGACTTGTATTAATTCATTTCATAATCCTGAGTGAGGCTGGAGGAACCAAATAAATATCTTTTCTATACTCATGGTTTCTATAAGATGTGCCTGTATGGCAGTCCTGATAGCGCTGGCAGAATGTATTTCAGTTGTGTGAGAGTTAAAAGAACAATCAAGATATTCCTGGCCTTGTATCAAAATGCAGAAAGAATGCTACTATACAGAATCAGGAAGGCCAGAAACTGTCCAGATAAAGCAGTGTGTCATCTACATTTTGTAAGGTTATTTCCTCATTTCTAACAGTGAACAGTCACCCTAAAGCCTCCTATCACTATTATGTGCAATCATTTTCAGAAATAGACACATTATACCAATCACATGTCATATCTACTAGAGTGTGGATAAAAGACTTCTTGTATGAGGTTAGTTCGCAATCATTGCTAGAATCCTGATTAGCTTTCAGTGAGGTGGCAAGTGAGTATTTGCAGATATCTCTAATATGAGGTTCTACCAAACTTTTTTTTTGCCTTTTAATCTGCTTTATTAGGTTTGCAGTATGGAATGTGGAGCTTCCCATGCAACTGATTCTGCTAACAAAAGAATTATAGACTGAGTAAAAAAACACAAGTTTCAATTAGAAGCTGGCAACAGGAGGAGATCTACACAAAAGGAGCAATCTCGAAACTTGTACATCACAAAGCAGGGGTCCCCATATCACCTTCAGAGGAAACCTCAGGACTCAGGGCATAAGGCAAAACTCATCATGGTGGTCATTGTGAGGGGGGTCGGTGCTAACATCACGCATGGTATAGCTCAGCTGCTTTTCCCGTAACTTCTCCATGAGCTGTCTCATATCCTCCCCAAACCTCTGTACATTCTCCTCTCTCATCCTTGCCTGGGGCTCCCCAACCCTATACACCAGGTCCCATCTGTAGTGAGCGATGGGCTGCCTAACCCGGAACCACCTGCGACCTCCTCTAGGCGCACAGTTTTTGCCAGCCTCAAAAGTCAGGGCCACAACTGGCTCCCTTTTGATAGTATCTTGCGGCTTTTCTTCCTTCTCCTCCTTTTTCTGGTGGTCATTTTCCATGTTGAGATCTTTTACTTCTTGATTTTTGGACTCCATTACTCCTGGGCCTATCCTTGCCTTCTCCTCTTGCTAGAGATGCTCACCACCAGGTGTGCCGCGAAGCTTCTGCTCCTTGGACCTGCTCCGCTCTTCCTCCTCCTGCTGCTGCTTTCCGCACCGCCCGGCCCGCGCGCTCTGCGCCACCAGGAGCTGCGCCACCATGAACAGGTGCCTCCGTTAGGGATGGCGGGCTGGAGAGAGCTCTACCAAACTTTAAAAAAAAATTTTCTGTAGTAATAGGTGTATGAGTGTGTGTGTGTGTGTGTGTGTGTGTGTATGTGTGTGTACTCATGCACACATATGTATACATATATAATTACACTGTAAGTCAGTGCACTGATGCATATATGAGAGTTCACACAACTACTTGTAGGCATCACAAAAGTTGGCGTTTCCTACAATGATACCCACAGGCATGATGTGCGTTGGACTGCTCTATTTATTATCCTATCCCACTCTGTTCAATTTATTCAACTCTGTTCCATCCCATTCTCTTCTATTCTCACACTCAATTCTATTATAGTTATCAGCACTTATTCACTAGGATAGTTTTAACACTGTAGAAAAATTAAATAGAAACTACAAAGAACTCGCATGTATTCTTTTTTCCTTAGCTACTATCACATTTAGCATATTTTCTCTTGTCATTAGGAACACCTCACATTAGCATGGCTTCCTTGTCATAATTAATGAAGCATTGTTAATATCCTCTCCTTGACTAGAGAGAGCTTAAGGATGTTATTAGAGCTCACATGTATGCTCTACTCTCAGTGGATCCAGGACTATTCAGAAAATTCTCACCGTTCTGGAAGTCCTCAGAGTTTCACCTGTCCATCCTTCTTTCCCCAGTGAACTAGATACCTCTTACATTGCTATGACAAAGACAACGTATGGAAGGGAAGAAGCATTATGATTTGAAGCCCAGTCCATCATGGGGGGAAAGCCTAGTGGCGGCAGCTGGTCACATTGCATTTGTAGCCAAGAGGCAGAGAGAGATGAATGATGGTGCTTAGTTAATTTTCTCTTTATTACCCAGTCTGGTACCATAGGCTTATGAGATTTTACTACCCAAATTGAGGGTAGGACCCCCCGCTTAGTCAAACCTTCCTAGAAACCCCATAAACAGACTTAGAGGTATGTTTCTGTGGTGATCCTAAATCCAGTAAAGTTGGTGATGCAGACTGGCTATCATACCTACACACTCATAACAATCTCCCCTCCTGGCTACTCACTGCAGAGTTATAAGAGGTAAATGAACTCATGGAGCTATGCAAAACATCTGACATATAGCAATTCATTACCAACTGCAAAGCTTCAATCACTAGCCCTCATCACTCCATGCACCTTTCACGTTTGTCTGGAGCATACTAAGCATTTTTTAAGAAAGCTGAAGGAGTGCAATTCTCATGGGCTTATTTATCTGTTTTAGCTTTTCAGAAGAGCCAAGTCAGAAACATTGAAAGGTCTGTGATTTTGTAAGTGTGGAGAGGCAGGAGAGTGTAAAAAGATGAGGAGAGAGCATAACACTAAGCTCGCAAAGAAGAGAATCAAAACAGGAATTGGCAGACAGGGGTCCATATGATTAAAGCTGACCGCGAGGAGCGAAGAATGAACGTCATTCCACTGGTCCCATTCAGAGGTCGGAGGTGACCTTTTCAAATGACAAAAAACATCTCAGCTTCCTCTTTAAGTGGCTATGAAAGCAGGACCTCAATTACATGACAGAGTATAAAGTTCTAGTCTGTTCTGTGCCTATTGAAATCGAGGTAGCTTTGTCCCATCCTCAGGAACATTTTGCAGACGCATTCAAACAATTTTCTGTGTTCTGTGGTTCAGAGGAAGAACTTCAAATTGGGAAGTTGACCTGTTGTTGAATATGGTAGAGATGGCCACGCATGACTGGTTTAAATTTAAATTAAGCCCAGAGAATTAAAACTTTATGTCCTCAAATATTTTTTATTGTTATTTATTTTTATTTGTATGTGCATTAGTGTTTTGGCTGCATGTGTGTCTGCATGAGACGCACATGCAGGCGAAACTGAATCAGATCTCCTGGAACAGGAGTGACAGACAGTTTTGAGTTATCTGATTTAAATAAAAAGCAAATATAGACTATAAAAAATTCTCATGGAAGAAGAAGGCTCAGAGATATGCCAGTAAAATAGTAGTGAGATGTATCTAGAGGTGGGGCAGAGAGAGCTAAGTTCTGTGCAAAGCACCTCTTAGCTCTGCCTGCCCCAACTCCTTTGCTTGTTATAGGAATAGGTCCTGTGCCAATGTAACCTTACACTATATTGAGTTTTCTTTAAAATGTAAACAGCAAAGATTAGTGCTAATGTCCCTACTTTTCAAAGCCAAACATTCAGGATTTTATATCATCTCCTAAAATACTTTGAAATACAAAATTTATGACCCATTGGTATGTAAGAAATTTTATTGTTGATGTGTATAGCAACATACTTAAAGGTTGAAGTTTTTAGAAGGAACTCAGGCAGGTTATACAGGTAAAGTATGACTAATTAAGTTGGAAAAATATACCATGGACAGTGTGAAAAATTATATAATTTAAAATATCACCCATAATCCTAATGCCATTTTTGAGTTCCTTTACATTATATTATTTATGAGCTTAGAGATTTGTCTATCATCTATCTACCCATCTATCTATCATTTATCATCTATTATCTATTATCTGTCTGCCATCTATCTATCATCTATTTATCATCTATTATCTATCATCTATCTATATATCTACCCATATGTCTATCTATCCATCTATTATCTATCTATCTATCTATCTATCTATCTATCTATCTATCTATCTATCTATCATCTATCTATCTATGTATCTATCTATCTATCATCTATCAATCATATTTTATCTATCTATTATCCGTCTATCTCTCACCTATCTATCCATCCACCTATCATCTACCTATCTTTTTACCTGATGTGCTGAGGATGGAATCCAGTTAATGGTGCATGCCAGCAAAGCATTCTTCCACTGAGCTGCATTTCCAGTCCTTAATATTAATTTCTACCCAAGGAGTAATTGACACAAAGTCAATTGCTTATTTCATATTACTTTAAAAGCCTGTAGAATATGTACCTAGAGAAGAAGTGGTTCAAGATTGAATATTATTTTGACCTGCATGATTGTACAGATCAATAAACTAACTTTAGTTGAAAATAAGTAGATGATCACCAGGATGGGAGAGGACAAGAAGACAGCCAATCTCTGACTTAGAGAATTATACACCAGACAGTCCTCCCTTCACCATGTGCACAGGATGTACAAAGTGTATTTAATTTTGGTCTCTATCAAAACATCTTGACTGGGCAGTGGTGGTGTACACCTGTAATCCCAGCATTGAGGCAGAGGCAAGCAGATCTCTGAGTTTGAGGCCAGACTCTACAGAATGAGTTCCAGGAAAGTAAAGGTTATACAGAGAAACCTGATCTGGACAAACCAAAAGTAAAGAAAAAGAAAAAAAAGTATCTTGAAATCCTGGAACTAAAAAATCTGCCAGAAAGTAAGATTATCTCCTATTCAATAGATTGGGAAAAAAATCCCAGTTCAGTCTGTGAGGTCAAGGAAGAGATTAAAGTTTATAATGAAGTAACCTTGAGCTCTATTGTTAGATATTGCAAAAAAAAAAGTTGTTTTTGTGACAAAACAAGAAACAATTTGACATGGTTCTGCTTGGCCCTTTGGCATGAAAAATCCTAAGGCTGCTGACATTCTGGCTGCACCCTTCACAGCTGTGTAATCACTGGGGTCTAGGAGTCCTGACTATACTTAGTTCAGCCCGTGGATTCCGTTTGAGACCAAGACAATGGAACTTATAATTAGCAAACTACTATAAGTCTAGAACTATGACACATGAATAGAGCTCTTCCTTTTTCTCTTCCCCTCTCCAGGGCCATAAAAATAGAAGAAGGAACTGGCAATATTTGCACTTCCATTCAAACCACCTTTAATAAAAATATAACCAAAGATGGAACTTGGCAAGAACAATGCCCAGTGAGAGAAGCAGGGTGAACCTAAGTTTCTTCTGACACTCAAACTTCTTTCTGACGTGCAGGTGGATATGAGCCTGTCAGAGAGGAATTGCTAACAGATGCCTTGTATTTACATCCCCAGTACAGGGGGTCGCAGGTCATCCATGGTGATGCATTCAGAGCCGAAGCAAGTATGTGAAAAAAATCAAGCACAATACAAAACCCTATAGGCTATATATTTTTCCTATGTCCTAAAGCATTTCACATAGAACTAAAGTTAATCTGTCTTCCTATGCTTCATGCCCTGGTATCTTCTTTGTTCTACTACTTCTGGTCTCTGGACCTATTATTAAATATAATAAGGGTCACTTACACACAATACTGCCAAACCATAAAAGTCAGTCTGATAAACTGAATGGCTAAGTATTAATGAGCATGTGGTGTATATGGCATGGATCCTGAGAAGAAAGAGGTAGATCATGTCCGAAGTAGAACTGACTGAAATCATGGGAGACCTCATCACAGTGCTTAGGAAAATGTGTGATTTAAAACTTGTGAGTTGTTTACTTATACATTTTTCCATTTAATATTTTCTTAACTGGTTAATTAGTTGACTGTAGGTAACAGAAACTTGAAAAACAAAATCATGAATAAGAGAAATCATATCCAACTCAATCACAAATCCAACTCAGAAACTACTACTTTTCCTTGGACCACCGACAGTAACTCCTATTTTGGCTCCTTACTAATTCCTGCTTGAGCTCTTTGATGGATGTCAGATCAATATTCCAAAATAGCAGGTCAATTTCCAGTTCAAAATCACCGTGACTATGCACCTCCTGGAAACAAAGAATGGGACAGCAATGTTCCTTTAAGTTTAATCTTGATTTATTTTTGGGCATGTCCTCTCCAACTCTGTCCCACCTAGAGTTCCCAAAGTGTCCTGATTCTCCTTGGTTCACAGGCTTTTCCCTACTCGCTGTTTCTTTTGCCGTGTCCTCCAGCCAGTTTGCAGTTCCTCTGCCAGACTCTTTCCATCACAGGCACCATCCATCAAAATCTTC